TGACAAAGAAGCCAAAAGCATATAGTAGAAGAAAGAAATCACCTTCTGCAAATGGTGCTCGTCTAACTGGTGCTCTGGATGTAGAAGAATGCAACTAGATCCATTCTTATCTCCTTGTACAAAGCTCAAGTGTAAGTGGATCAAGAACCTCCACATAAAACCAGATACACTGAATTTAATAGAAGAAAAGTGGGAAATAGCCTTGAGACATGTACACAGGAGAAAATTTCCTGAACAGAACACTAATGGCTCAGGTTCTAAGATCAACAATTGACAAATGTTACCTCATGAAACTGAAAAGCTTCTGTAAGGCACAGGACACTGCCAGTAAGACAAAAACGGCAACCTACAGACTGGAAAAGATCTTCACTAAATCTATATCTGATAGAGGGCTAATGTGCAAAATATGCAAAGAACTCAAGTAGCTAAACTCCAAAAAATAGAATAACCCAATTAAAAAATGGAGGTAGAGGGATAAACAGAATTCTCAATAGAGGAATCTCGTATGGCTGAGAAGTACTTAAAGAAATGCTCACCATCCTTAATCATCAGGGAAACGCAAAACGACCATGAGATTCTACACCAATCAGAATGGCTAAGATAAAAAACTCAAGAGACAGTAAGTACATGCTGGCAAAAATGTGGAGAAAGAGAAACACTTCTCCATTCCTGGTGGGATTTCAAACTGGTACAACCACTCTGGAAATCAGTCTAGCAGTTCCTCAGACATTTTGAAATAGAGCTACCTGAAGATCTAGCTATACCAGTGGTGGGAATATACCCAAAAGATGCTACACCATACCACAAGAACATGTATTCCACTAGTTCATAGCAGTCTTATAGGTGATAGCCAGAAACAACCCAGATGTCCCCCAACCAAAGAATGAATACAGAAAATGTGGTTCATTTACACAATGAAATACTGTACAGTTGTTAAAAACAAGGACATCATGAATTTTGCAGGCAAATGGATAGAAGTAGAAAATATCATTCTGAGTGACGTAACCCATACCTCAAATGTCATGCATGGCATGTACTCACTGATAAGTGAATATTAGCCAAAAAAGTTCAGAATACCTATGATATACAACTCACAGACTTTAGGATGGTTAACAAGAAGGAAGTCCCATGTCTAGATACCTGAAACTCACTTACAAGGTGGAACAAAATAATCATGGGAGGCAGAGGGAGGGAGGAACCTAGTGGGAGATGGGAGGGGGAGGAGAAAAGGAGTGGCAGGATCAGGTATGGGGAGAGACAGGAGGTACGCAGAGGGCCAAACGAATGAATTGTAATATGCAGCTTTAGGCAACAGGGAGCAGGAGGAACCTCTAGAAAGTTTCAGAGACCTGGAATGTGAGAGGCTACCAGAGCTCAATGGGGAAGACATTAACTCAACAATGGGGAGATGTAATGGGAAAAGACCACCTTCTGTAGACAGACATGACCCCCAGTTGAGGCAGGGCGCCACTCAACCATCTTCAAAAGTTTTAATCCAGAATTGTTCCTATCTAAAGGAAATACATGGACAGAAATGGAGCAGAGACTGAAGGAAAGGCCGTCCGGAGACCGGCCCAACTTGTGATCCATCCCGTGGGTGCACATCAAATTCTGACACTTGCTGGGGCCATCTTGTGAGTGCATATAGGAGCCTGGCATGACTGTCCTCTGAGAGACTCTACAAGTAACTGAGTGAGACAAAGGCAGATACTTGCAGCCAACCGCAGGATTCAGATCAGGGGACCAATATGTAAGAGTTAGGAGAAGTACTGAAGGAGCTGGAGTGGATTGCAACCACTTAGAAAGAACAACAGTGTCAACTAATCCGGACCCCTCAGAGCTCCCAGAGACTAAGCTAAAAACCTAGGGCATACATGGGCTGGTTCGTGGTGCTGGGCAGATGTGTAGCAGATGATTGCCTTGTATGGCCCCAGTGGGAAGGAATGCACTTAATCCTGTGGGAAACTTGATGCCCCAGGGAAGAGGAATGCTGGTGAGGGTGGATGGGCAGGAGGGGGAGCACCCACTCAGAGGCAGGGTGGAGAAAGGAGAGGAGATGGGTGAAGAATTCGGGGAGGGGAACCAGGAAGCAGGAAGGGGACAACTTTTGGACCGTAAATAAAATAATTTAATAAAAAAGTAATATACTTTTAAAAATCTTGGTTTTATACAGTAAGCAAAGTAGTGTGATCAAAAGGGAAGCTGTTCTCACAAAGGAAGAACAGTGGGACAAAAGAGGAAGTTGTGTTCACGAGAGGCAGAGTCGCAGAGCATGAGCTAAAGACAAATTCTATTGATTGGCACGGGGGTGACTTTCAGGCAAAAGCGATACCAATGATATTTTGACTGAAGGGAACGAAATTACAGAATCATACAACTTGGTAACAACTCAGTAAGTGAATACCACCGGGGGAGCTGCAGGAGAGGAGACTAGCAGAGTGACAGTAAGTGGACATGGGTAGTAGCAATGACTGGTAGGATCATCTGAAGGCAATGACTTACTAGATTACAGTCATCTTGGTCGTAGTACCAGTTTCATAAAACCAATAAAAGTATTCCATCACACTCAGTAGGGCTAAGTGTTTCTTTATGAAATTTCAAGCTAAGCTATTACTTATGTATTTCTCTCTGTGTGTATGTGTGTTGTGTGATTATGACATTAAAATATACTGTTTCTCCCTGTGTATTATAGTCAAGCTAAATGAACTAGCAGAAATCCTGCCTTCGTGGTCTCCCTCCACACAGTGAGCTCAGAATATACCTCTCTGCCTGAAGTGTGACTTGGTGGTGTATGGCACACTATAGATAGGGAGGATAATTAGGAGAAGGATTTTAATGGTATTTTTATTCCTTGCGAGTTCTGTGCATTGCTATAATGCATGTTTGTCATAGCCACTCACCACTATCTTTCTTCAACTCACCACCTTTACTCCTCTGGGGATTTAACTTAAAGTCTCCCACTTCAAGGAGATAGAAATTCTCTGAGCTCAATGTGTGTGGGGAGATGAGCCTGTACCTGAAATAGCTACTGACAAGTATTGTTCATCTATCCAGCTATTGCATCTTAATAACTACTGTACTTTTTGAATACTCAATGTCACCTCTTTGAGTTTCTGGTATTTCTAAAAGTGATCACCTGCCTTCAAAATAGCAATTCTCCTGGGGCATAATTTCATCCCTTGAAGGATATTTGCTAATGTGTAGAGGTACTTTTGGTTATCAAAACTTGTGAAAGAGGGGTGCTACAGACATGCAAGAGGGTGTGCTGAACCCTCTCAACTGGGTAGCTCCTCACAATCAAGACTAGTTCAAGACAAAGCTTCAATAGCACCAGAGTTAAGAAAACTTGTTTTCTTCAGAATTACCCTGACCAGTTATCTAAAGAGTGTGATTCTTTTGTTGGATTTTGCTACTTTTTTGAGACAAAAGCTCCCACAACCCAGTCTGGCTTCATGTTTCCAGAGAAGCTGAGAATGACCTTGAATTTGCTTATAAAAAAAGAATGTAACTCTTAACATCAGTTGAAAGACTCACTCTACTGTCTAAACACAGACTCAGAGATATTGTCTTCGGAATGCTCTGATCACCAACTTTATTAGATTTAAAACAATAAAACAATATTTGTTCCCATACAACCCTGAATGAAATGCTGCAGAAGACAGTTTGGAGCACATTATTGACAACTCTAAGACCACTTTCTGAATCTGAGCATTAGAAACACAAGCATAGACACCATGACACCGACAGTTTATGTGACAATGGGTATTTACATACATGAAGAAAGAACCTTGCTTTGAAGTGAGCATTGAAAGTAAGACTTTCCTAGTTTAAAACTTAATAGCACTTAGTGAGAAATGTCATAGGTATCCTGATTCAATAAATACAGCAGCCATAAACAAACTTTGTAAGGAAAGGGGACTGTGAATTTGACAGCTAAAGGTGCAAATTACAAATAACTTTGTCAAGCTATTTCTATACCTTAACTTGCAAATTCAGACATCTTCCAGGCAAGAAATATTCCAATAAAGCCTTACTTAGCTGTATTTTGGGCAACAAGGTTTCGCTCTCCTGATGCCTTCATGAGTCTTGGTTGTGTGTGTGTGTGTGTGTGTGTGTGTGTGTGTGTGTGTGTGAAATGTTTTTCTACATGTTAATAAATTCCCTCTTGTTTTCAATCATTTGACTTTAAGATAATGTTGGATAAAATCTCCCCCTGGTGACCAAAATATGTGAGTACACATTCAAAATGTTAAATTCTTGTACACCTATCCTGGGACAGCTCATGAAGTCATCATTCCCTCTCAAATTTCAGGATACAAATTATATATTAAGTATTTCCTTTATATAAAAAACATTAATCGGTAGTTCTCTTATGTATATCTATGCAATCAGGATGGTGGTATGAGTATTGTTTATATGGTTGTGTTTCTAAAATGTCAGAAAAAAAACAGAAAAGTTTCCCAGCAAAGTTTAAACTACCTTTGCTTTATTTTGCCACAGAAGTTTGATATAATCTCCTTTTCTAAATTCCCTGATACACATTTATTTAGAGGTAGCAAACTTATTTCTTGTGATGGGAAAAAACTTAGGAAAATCTATAAGAAATGTAAAAAAGACAAAAAGATGTTTGTGAGCTCCGGATAAATCATAGGGACTTGTATGAGCACCTTGAGGTTTTTGAAAATTTAAAACATTTTTTTTGAAGGGCACCCAGGAAAAACATACTCTAAAACTCTCCCAGGCTATCTGCAAAACCACGTAATGCATCTTGGGTACACTTACTTGGTTTAGAGAGATGAATGTCTTTACTGCATGTTTTTCAATGACAAATCAACCCATCCCTTCACAAATATGATTCTGAAATAATCATGTGTTTCATACTGCTAGATCCAGCTACTTAATCTCACTTCATTGTATCAATGCCACCAAATGAATGTCTCAATTCTTATATACATATGACCCGCATGCTACTGTTTTCCTTAACATCTATCTGTAGCGAGTTAGAGACCCGTTTTTGAAGCAATCCAGCGTCGGTAATAAGTCACTTGTGTGTACACTCCAGGCTTATTCTTTTGACCACAGTTGTCTCCCCAGCTCACAATTCCAATGAGATACCAGGTATCTTTGTTGTCACTTACAACCAGTGGTCCCCCAGAATCACCCTGAAAATAAACAAGAGAAAAACAATCGGCTAAACAGCTTGTTTACAAAAGCTTGATGAACCACTTATTTTATTCTCAGTGCGTGTATAGATCGTCAACACCGAGTAAGTAAATAAAACCCATGGCATACATGCAATAGACCAGTACAGTAGAAAATGTCCAAACATTGCAATATAAGACAAAAATAAAAATCTCCAAAATTACGATTGAGTTCAGTTTGTGTTGGCCGTCTACTGCTGGGCATGTAAGTGTGGTTTATGTACACAGTGAAACCCTGCAGGAGAAGTTAATTTTTCCTTTGGGAGCAGTTGTCAAGTGGAGATAGCTTCTTCCACCCACTGTGTTCTGTAGTGAGCGATTTGAACATCACCTTAAGAACCACCTCCAACCATGCCTTCCTCACAGTGCCTGCTAGTGATTACACTGGAATTTTTATTTGTTCAAACTCTTATCTGACCTCCAAACAGAAACAAAATTGCAATTCTGCACAAAGTTGTGAAAACACTTTTAGGGGAAGGTGTTGGTTCTGGTCAGCCGTTCTGATGCTTTTTTATCTGTGCTTGGATCTTGTTTACTGAGATGTTTGGTGGAGAAATTCTCTCTCTCACTCTTGCTCTCTCCTGCTCTCCCACTGTCTTCCTCTTCGTTTCCCTCTCTCCCTTTCTCTTCCTCCTCCTCTTCCCCTTCTATGTTAGAGACATTTATTGAATTCTAGATAAGCATTTGGTGATGTAAGGAAGCCAAGTTGATGTTGGTGCTTGTAATTCTGTATTATCAGATGCTCTGAAGCCCTGATGTGTAGCCCAGTTACCATGACTGTTCTCCAGCACTTGAGCCACTTTTCCAATGACTTTTTCTATGAGTAGGTGCTTTCTTATACTTCTTTGAATCCAATCCTAGCGAATCCTCTGTGGCACAAGTCTTTCCACGGATCTCTGAGTTATCATCCTCTATCTACTCTAAGCATTCTGGTGAGTTTCCCCTCACTTCTTCCTGTCTGTTCCTTGGATCCTGAAATTATAGCTGTCTCCTTCCACACTCTTAGCAACAGAGGTTAGCTATGTGTTAGATCCCAGTCTGGCCTGGTCTGTGTGTTATAAATTTTTGTTCTTTTTTTTTTTCCAACACAGGTTGTTCGTTTTGTGTCATTTGTGGGCCGTTGGGCCCACAAAAGTCTCACCATTTCACTGTGTAGACTTACCTCCTTGATGTTTACAAGAGTTTCTTTTCAAAAGAATGTTTACATATGGAAAGAAACAGACTAATATTTTCATCAGAAAACGTACACGTCACATAGATTCTGGAAGACTGGGAGAGATGTGGAGAAGAATGGTAGGATATTGACAGGTATACCTAATCAAACTTCGCACCATTAAATAATTCTTCTGCTTGCCATGCTGCTTGGGCTTTGTTTGGGGCTACCAATAACAAATTATAGTAATTGGTAATGTTACAAATGTAGAGATCTTCATAGTTGTAGCTATTCTCTCTTTCTTTTTCTGTAATTGCATAAGTGCTACTTATTCTTTAGGCCTCATTAAAACATCACCTCTCTGTTTGTTCCAAAAACGTTTTCTTGAAGGAGAAACTACTTCTCTTTCATTATATTCTTAGAGCATCGAAGTTCATTGTACACGATTGCTGCCTTTGTAATTCGTGAGCCTGTTGTGTAAGAAGACATGACAAGACCCTTATCCTGAGAGCTTCTGGACTAAACATTTTGTGTTTGATACCGTCAATGAGACCTTTTCTTGTTTCAGGTTGTTCAATAAGAAAACACTTAAAGGTTCTTAGGGGTTATGACATCAACACATGTGAAGATGTCGGCATGTCTGTGTCCCACGTGATCATAAAGAACATAGAGTATTTCCTTGGCTAGGCAAAAAAAAAAAAAAAAAAAAAAAAATATTTTGAGTTAGTGACTTTGAATTATTTCTGCTCCCACCTACCCTGCAGGCATCGTAAATTCCTTCCAGGAACCCAGCACAGAACATCCCGCGTTTTATTTCATTGCCGTACACGTGTCGCTGTTTGCAGACGTCATTGCTTATGATCTGTACTCGGGCTTCACGGAGCTCATTTTGGGATTCCCCTTAAGGAAAAAAAAATAAAAACAAAGCATTCTCAGACTTCTCAGTAAGTCTTAGACGGACTGAGGAGAGGGGGGTCTTTGCTAATCTTCATTCAGAAGTTGTTTCCACAGACTAAAGCTAGCGTGAGCAGTCCTAGGAAAAAGATATTCTAACTAAAATCTGGCACATGCCATTAATAACCATAGAGGCAGAGACAGGTGTATCGATACAACTTTGATACCAGTTTGTTCTACAGACAGGGTTCCACAGCGAGATCCTGTCTCAGAAAGCAAACAAACAAATGAGTTGCATTATTCATTTTAATAAATGCAGCTACAAACAGGATTGAAATTTGTTTTCTGGAAAATCTTTGAATCTCTACTTTAAAAAATTACTTATTTTTATTAATTTTTATTTTTGTTTTATGTGTGTGGAATTTTTGCATTCTTGTATGCTTGCATACCACATCCATGCAGTGTCTGTGGAAGTCAGAAGAATTGGGTCGTTTGAAACTGGAGTTATATATGATTGGGAGCCACCATGTGAGTATTGGGAACAGAATCTGAGTCCTTTGGAAGAGCCATCAGTGCTATTAACTACTGAGCCCTTCAAGCTAGTCTTTATTTTTAAAGACAGCATTGCTTTTTTAATGAGTGTTATGTTTATTGATTTCAGATTGTTTCCAAAGTAATTTACATGCTTGGTTAATATCGTTTCTTGGCTTGATAAAAATACCTCTTAAATAATGATTATCTAATTCTGTACATTTACAAAGATTGTTCATGTATATGATTGTGTTATATGACAAAGGCTTTGTCTCAGAAAAATGTAGGGATCTAGTCTAAGCTAGGTCCTTATGACAGGCAGAAGCAGAGGAAAACTAAGAATATCACAAACGTTCTGGAATTCTTTTTCTCAACCTTGGACTAAATAGGAAATCATCATACCCTGGTTGGCAGAACTCTAGCATGGCCCCAAGATTCTTGTGTTATTTCTTTTGCCAAGCATGGAATGGACTCGGTAAACATGACGGAAATAATTTTTATAGTTAAGTTTAAGTTATATGTGCCAAAGTGCTGAGAAGTTTTTATATAAAATAATATCTTCAATCACATTGACTCCACCATAATCAAAATGGAGAGTATCCAAAGCAGATCTGGCCAAATCAGGTGAGGTTTATAATTTCTCCATGTTTGCTCACACATGTTTGCCGAGGAGGCAAGCTCTATAGCTGCAAGAAACAGAATTCAAACACCCAGTCTGGAAGGGAATCTTGAGCTACGGATGAGGCTATGCCCAAATTGCTGTCCTGAGAAACTCAGAAAAGATGATCCAATAACCTGTACCTGTTGTAGAAATTATTAAATCCCGACCTGAAGTTTCTACCCTGCCTTGAGTGTTTAAGTTCCCAGATAAAAAACCACACACAATCTTTACATTTATAATAAGCCTTAAACAGTACAATAGTTGTGTGAATACCTACCTTCCATGTTATTATAATCTACTTTCCTATTGATAAGCCCGAGTTATGACTTGCTATTTACTATGGGCTGCTGTTAACACCAATCAGCCAGCCCTCAGGGTCATGTTCTTATTGTTCACCTAACTCTTATACTCCTCTTCTTCCCCTCAAGGTTCATCCCTGGATCTCACGCCCCAAAAACCTAAACCCTGCCTATGTCACTTCTGCCCAGCTATTGGCTGTCAGCATCTTTATTTACTAATCAGAAATAACTTGGGGGCAGGGTCTCAGGGGCTAGTCCAGGTCTTGGGGGCCCTCACTTGCATTACAATAGACAGTAAAAAGGGAAAACCTCAACAATTTCCCCCTTTAGTCCAATAAAATGCTCCTTTCTCTCATATATAACAATTATGTAAATTATAAGTTATGGTATATTTTTTATAGTGGCTAGTCTATTCTACTTGGGAATTTAGATAAAGTATTTTATCATCTATCTTAACTTAATGAGTTTGCAATTCTGTCTAAATCATGTTTGATTTTAACTTGTATTACCATCTGAAAACCATCCTTTTAAATTTAGAATATCTTCAATGCTAAACAGCTTAAGTGTAATTGTGAGACTGTAATGATTTAGCCTTCAACCCTGTCAGAGATTTGAGAAGGGATTAAATGTTGAATATTCAGGAAGCATAAAGACATAATTTCCAAAACTATAGAAATGACAGAAACAGATGACCAACTGAACAGTATCCGGCATTCTTTATAATGCCAGAGCATCGATTTTCAGCCTTCTGGCCCAGAATATCTGATAGACCTTAAGTTAAGTAGGAACTATGAAGGACTAGCTTACCTTGCCTTGGAAGAGCTTAGTAGTGAACTGTTCTGCATCCATTTGTTCTTTTGTACAGCATTCTGTCTGCAGATAAAATTAGGGCATTTCTTGCCCAGTGGCTAGCTTGCTATACTTTAATCAATGCTATATGGAGGTATTGATGTTCAGTATAGTCTTGGAAGTGGAATGGGGGTACTGTGAGGAGCAGACACATCTTGTGGTGAAAAGGTCTTTTAATAATGAAATAACATTAAATGCCATATTCTGTGGATCTCTGATAGTTTTGAAGACTTTATCTATATATAGCATAACTGAATTGTCAAATATTGATTATTTTTAGCTATTTCCTATTTAAATATCCTTGAAAACATTTTAATGTATTTAACTAAATTAGAATCTAATATGACTCTGAGTTTAGCCATCTGACTATTAACTTGTATTGTTTAATAATTTTAAATAGTTTATAATAGCAGCTATTAAAAGGACTGCATCTAAGCCTTGTATCCTTAAGTGAATTACATAGGAACAATGCCTACCTAAGAGTAAACAAAATTAATTTTAAATTTTGTATTAATATACAAAGATTTATACCAATGGAAACCTTAAACTTGAATCAATATACAAATTCTGTATCAATGTAAGAAAATATAACTTTAATTCTGTGTCAAAATATAAACATTTCTACTAATATAATAAGATTATGGCTATAAAATGCTTTGTCTATATATAAAAATAGATATTCTGACTGTGTTATCAATTTAAAAAATTCCATTTCCACTTCTGGGAAGGGTTAGTGGATAAGACAATTAATATTTTCTAGGTGATTGATAAATTAATTACTTTTATAGCAAACTACCTGACAAACTATAATAAAATTAAAAAGGCATAGCTCCAAAATTTGTACTTCCAAATCCTAAATAGTTCCCAACTACTTTGGAGTCACTTACAGATACTTCTTTAAAGTGTATTGATTGATATCAAAGAACTTCATTTTTATCTGCCCATTTTCTCTACTTTTTCATTTTTTTTTTAAAGATTTATTTATTTATTATATATGAATACACTGTAGCTGTCTTCAGACACACCAGAAGAGGGCATCAGATCTCATTACAGATGGTTGTGAGCCACCATGTGGTTGCTGGGATTTGAACTCAGGACCTCTGGAAGTGCAGTCAGTGCTTTTAACCACTGAGCCATCTCTCCAGCCCCTACTTTTTCATCTTTATTGTTTCTTTTCTTCTGCTTGTTTTAGATTATCTTTCTTATCTTTATTAGTTTAGTAAAGTTGACAGTTTATATATGTGAGAGTTTCTATTTGTGAGATCTTCTTTCTAATGCAAAAACCAAATACACTCTGGTGTGATGTGAGTCCGGCCTTGCTCTCCTGCTGGATCTAAGAAACAATGGGCAATATTTCCTGCAACCAGTGCTAGGACCATGAAGCAAGCAATGCATGTTCAACATGACTAAGATGGAACTGAGCTGCAGAGAATATCTGAAGTAAATCGAGAGTTTACAAAGCCTGCTCCTGGTGATGTTTGTCTAAGTGTTTTCCTAGTTCCTTGGTGGAGCCTGAGATTTGAGTCTTCTTCCTTGAAGTTCATTGTGTATACATAGTATAGGCTGCTTTGAGTGGATTTTCCTATTTTCAGAAGCCCATTTTGCATTTTCTCAAGACGATAGTTAAACTCTCTAGCAACTTTTATCTATATACCCAAGGCACATTCTAGAATCCAGATTGTGTCTTGAGGATGACTGAAAGCATTCGGCAACAGTTATTATGGGTTAGTAATAAAGTTGGATTGTTTTAGAGAGGGGAAGGTTTTGAAGATTTATCTCTACATTGGTTTATTCTTAGCCACCGTTAAACTAGCTGCCTAGGCATAAAATATTTAAATTGGTCAGTCAATCCGGTATTCCTGGACAGCCGTGAGCCATATCTACCACTGGGTGGAGCTAGGGTCCCAGCTGGCGACGTTAACGTGAGGCAAAAAGGATGTGGAGGCACAAAGATTTATTGGTTCAGGGTTCAGCAATATCATTTAAACTCTGCATTCTACTTATATTTAAATCAAATTCCCCACAGGGAACTCCTGAATTACAAGGGCTAAATTTGTGTTGTTTCTTTGTGTTGGATTTCTGTCACTTGCAAAGCAAGAGCATTAACTTACTGTAAGGAGCTGTGGGGAAAGGGACGGCAACAAAATACAAAGTACTCAAAGAGCTGAGAGGTCTGTTTGCTGCTCTGAGGTACCCACCACCATAGTAAAGTGCTCCGAATCCTGTGATGTAGACAGTTGCATTTGGTGGGAACAATGCAGAGGGTTCTGGCAGACAAATTCGGCTCACTTCATCCGAAAAGGTGACCCTGGGAGAAAACTGCACAAGGGCAATGTCATGGTCTCTTGCTGGGGGGCGATACCTTTCGTGCATAATAATTCTTCTGACCTCTCTTTTCATTAAGGGAGGATTTATTGTTGTTCCAAAACTGAGAGTCCACTGGCGAGGGTTTGCATTGCTAGAAAAGATTAGCAGCAAACATGAGTATCCGTTAACTACACCATTTAGATGAATTAACAGCATGCATTGAAGTGAATACAATAGAACATACCACCCTGACAATAGTTGGTTGCAATTATAGTCTCATTGGCTATTTAAATATGTCTGTTGCTCATGAATTAATTATAAGGACATATACCAATAACACATTACTGGTAAATTGGACATTTAATTATTGAGTTTTACAACTGTAAAGCACGTACGATATTATTTGCTTGTTCCCTCAACAAATACTTATTAATCACGCATACGAAGGAAGTGAGCAAAACATAAAGTTTCAGTTCAACAAGTATTTTGGTTGAAAAGAAAAAAAATTATAAAAAAATATATTAAAGCGTTGACAAATAATATGAGTTCTAAAGATTAATGATGAAATAAAATAAAACGTGTAATGTACTAGTGGTGTGAAGATACAGAAGGCCTTTTTGTGAAAATTTAGAACAGTCGATTTAGAGTAAGACAGAGCTGATTGGGAGTCATCGGCTATGAGATGATTAGGTTTCCAGGTGGGACTCAGTTTATGACACCAATGGAAGAACAGTGGAGGACAATGCTGGAAGGGAGGTAGGTGGGGACCAGAGCATCTTACAGTGATATAGAGAATTCTGAAGTGTCTAATCGAGTTCCTGTAGCACCATGGAGCTTGATAATTGTGCGGGCTGCGGCTCTAAAGCCACTGTCAACTCTCCATTGCCTCTGCCTGATCCCTCTGCAGACAAGGCTTGCTCCACTTAGGAATTCCTTTGTTCACCTTGGCATCCCTTTCATCTCTGAGCAGCTCTGCCTGCTGACAAGTTCTCTCTTGACTCTCTAAGCCTCTTCCAGAAACACGACAGGACTTCAGATCAGTTCATACAAATCTATTATCTGTACTAGAGATTTCTCAGAATAAGATTGCATCAGGTAGGACAGTGTTTCTCGAGTATTAATGTGCACACGAATGATTCGGGGCTATTATTAAAATGCAGCCCCTGAGTCTTGAGCTCTGGGATAGGGTTTAACTATCTTCCTATCTCACCCATTCCTTAGTAATATGGGGGCTGCTGCTCTCAAACTGCTCTTCGAGTGGCAAGGCAGATGCTGTACTGCCTACCACTTTGTCATCTGAGACTTTGTAACAATATTCCATCTTGTCAAGCTCTCTTTAGATATCCCACCCAGTTCAGAATTTACTCTCCCAGGTAAGATCTGGCCAGATTGTCTCACATGTCACATACTCTGGTTTTGATCTTTAAAGATGTTATGCAAATCACAATCAAACTTTGCCGACCAATGTCAGTGCTTCAAATTTGACCTGAGCAGGTCTGCCTCAATAGTCACCCACTCCCTGCCCTGCTTGAAGACTTTATCTTCTGTTTATTAGTATTCTCATGAGACTGACCAAGTGCTCAACGAAACAGATACTAAGGTTAAGTGAAGAACATCACTTAATAAAGGGCTGGATTTATCAGTAAATTGTTGTATTAGAATACCTTCTGCTATAGTTGCAATTTCTTTTAGTTAAACTCTGAAGACGTAATTAATGGATTCTGGGATTAATGTTCAGCGCTCCTTTATTCCCACCAAACTTTCCAAATAAGTTTGCATGTACAACACCGTTTTAGAAAAGAATCAGGAAGATTTTCTTATTTCACTTGATTGGTAGTAGAATATGAAAATACTCACGATTTTAAACAAAACTGGGGACTGACTTAAGTTCAATAACTTACGTTCTAAAACAGTGTGCTGCAGTGACGACCCACATGTTGCCAATCAATGTGCCCCCACACTGATGGATGTTGCTTCGCTGAAGGGAAACTTGCCAAGGCCAGGCACCCTTGGCTGCGGGGTTTCCAGACACTATTCTGTTGGCAATTAATGGGATAGCTCGCTTGCCACAATCTGAAAGAGATGAAACCATTTATAAGAAACGTCTAGCTCTGGACGCAGAGGATCCCACAGAATGCTGCCAGGCAGACCTTGCACCTGTCACACTTTAGGCATGACTGCTCTTCATTCTTTGTGTTTCCTTGATACATTGTTTAGTCCAACCTTTGTCTATGTGGATATCTGTTCTTTGTGAAGCTTTACTAAACTATAACATACTGACAGTATTCGCCCCATGGACTCACAATTGGTAGTTATACAGTTACTCCAGAAGCTCCGACCAAGATTATTGTTTTGCAGTTGTAGGTAACACAACAGTGTTGGGCTGTTACCAAGGAGTCCTCATCAGGACAACTCCTTCTAGCCAGCTAAGCTGTTTGGTGGTCTGTTTGGTGGAAACCCCTTTGATGTTTATCATTCTAAGGTGTCCGGGGATTAATGTGTCATGACTTGTCATTCATTCGTTACGATGCAGGTTTCTATGTTTCCATATAAACATGACATCCACCATCAGCAAGAATAAACATGTACTCCATCACATGAGAGGCTGCCTTTATATTCCCGGCTGCTGTGAAGACCAAAAGCTTGTTAAAGTCATAGTGGAAAGAAAGAAAGAAAGAAAGAAAGAAAGAAAGAAAGAAAGAAAGGAAGAAAGAAAGAAAGAAAGAAAGAAAGAAAGAAAGAAAGAAAGAAAGAAAGAAAAAGAAAACTTAGTAGGTTGGCTCTTGTTCCAACAAAGAAATATGATAAAAAATTCATTTTATGTGTATTGATTATATTTCCAAAATGGCCATCGTGGAAATCTCCATCATGTTACCTTGATGCTCCAGTGGACAACCATTTTTCTCATCTGAAAGAACAGAGGAGCTCCCACGTCATTTCTGTACCTCAGTCCTGTCCTTCTACATTCTATTGGCTGCACTGGACATTGAATGGCCTTTCTGGAACGTGGAAAAGCTTTGTTGCCCTCCAAATAAAACTCTTTCCAGGGGATTCTAGTAATACATGACTAATAGTCACATTGCTTTCCTACACACCCAGATCCCAAGTCTTTGTTGCAGCCAAGCAGACATTTTTTATTTGTTGGGAATGATGATTTCTTCAGTTGCCTGTTCTCCTTGTCCTGTACACTTACTACCAGTCACTTGATTCATGGACTCTCTTCTTGATATTTCAGGGATTACTTTATATCACAACTAGACCAGCTTAGCTAACTATGAAAGACTCTCCAAGAACTGCATATTCCATAAATCATTTATTATACTATATTAACATTTCTTCCAATTTATTTTTGCCTTCCTTTACTCTGGAATTATGGCTTAAATAAGGTCATGTCTTAGTCACAGTTGTATGACCAGCTCCTGAAATGCTTTTGATGCTGTATTAATAGATGTTAAAAGGTATTAGAAAAATAAGAAAAAGGTAGTGTAGGTGTTTGCAAGACACAGAAGCAGAAGAGTGATGTGCTGCTCAAGTTCTTTACTATATATGGTGGTTTGAATATGCTTGGCCCGGGGAGTGGCACTATTACAGGTGTGGCCTTGTTGGAGGAAGTGTGTCACTGTGGGGGTAGGCTTTGAGACCCTCCTCCTAGCTACCTGGAAGATAGTATTCTCCTTTCTGTCTTTGGAATGACGATGTAGAACTCTCAGTTCCTCCAATCCCACATCTGCCTGGACTTGGCCATGCCTCAACCTTGATGACAGTGTACCGAACCTCTGAACCTGTCAGTCAGCCCCAATTAAATACTGTCATTTATAATAGTTGTCTTAGTCATGGTGTCTGTTCACAGCAGCAAAACTCTAACTAAGACACCATGTTTGTAAAATCTTTCAAAATTCAGGACACAGCAAGTTTTAGTGAATTGATAAAGTCACTTCTGGGCATGAACGTAATATTAATATATTTCAGTAGTCAGTCTCAGATATTAGGTTCATTTCTTCCCCTTGAATCTCTTTCTATCATTTTAATCTTAGCAGAAACCATTCTCATAGCCCTTTTTAAAACTTAGAAAAGTAAGCCCACTCAATACCAGAAAACATAATTTCATTTTAACTTTCTTTGTCTTAGAATTAGAAAACACATATCCTATTATTATGATGAATAACACATATCCTATTATTATGAATAATATTATGAAAAACACATATCACATTGTCTATTGTTCTGCGAGATGAAGATGTGAATGTGGGTGAGAGATTATGAGCTGACATTTGAAGATACTATTGCCGATGTAGAAACTGAACTTGTCTGTATAAGCTAACTAGACTTGCATGCTGGCACAGTTAGTTTCCCTGCTGATGAGCACACTGCTCAAAACCAAAATACAGTAAGAGTTGACTTAATGTTCTCTTGGTTCATCATAATGACCAGGAATTTCCAAAGGCCACTATCTGTGGATTCTAAGCAGTTCAGCAAACAGACAAGTTAGGACACTGGGTTTCTAATATACATGGGATATAAGTGGCAACATCTAATTAGCTGGGTAGTTTCTTACTCGTTGTGTTAAACAAAAATAGTGGATGAATAAAACCTGCAAATAGTTTCTGTTAATGTAGAACTGTGGTTTTCCAAGAGTGCAAGGTAAATCCTCTTGGATTCCACTGTAGGATGAGAAGAGAGAATAATTACATAGGCCCCTAGGCCTTACAATTTGTCTCAACCAAAACATGCCTGCTTTTGTCTCCTTTGTTTACTTAAGATTATATATAAGCTTGTTTTTCTCAAAGAGTTTAAGATGAAAAGACTTTAAGAAGCTCCAACATAAATTACGTTTAAAGTACTTCTCAGACATGTTCCTAACCAACTAGATGGGGTAAATTAAGAAAATACTTTAGGTGGACACAGTGCCACATGCCTGTGTCTCAGGAAAACCACAGGACAGATGCTTTCTCATAAGATAAGCAAAAATGAAAGAGGAAACTATTATGTATCATTATATAATATTGTAAGAGATCATCTTTAAGGGTAAATTCTGCTGATTTCCAACAAAGTTAGAAATCTGACCAAAAAAAAAATGAACTTTATGTATATATGAAATAACATGTTAGAAACAATGAATATTTACAATTTGTACTTAGAAGTGAGTAACACTTGGGAAATATGATGGTAGAAAGTTGCATTAAAAACTGGTGACAATTTAGTTAAAGGGACTCACAGGACAAGGTAGTGATAAACCACAGGGCCATGTTTCTCAGAAAAGGTTTCTGCAGCCCATTTCTTTTTGAGGAAGACAATAATTTGTCGTTCTGCTAACTCTTTATAAATCCTATATGAGTCATAGGAGCTGCTTGTGACAATGACCTTTATGAAGCAGAAACTTAAGGAAATAATGAGCTCCATATCATCCTTGAAGGCATCCACCAATCACAGTGAAGATGCAATTGCTCAAGTTTCAGTACGTAGCCTATGGAAGAAACACGATTGTTTATCTAAAGTAATTTGGTAGTATGTAAGTTTCTTGAACAAACCACACACACACACATACACACACATACACACACACACACACACACACACACACACTGGTGCCACTAAAAGACTGGTCTCTACTGAGTGCTTACTCCCTTGTTCTCTGAAAGAAAGTTACTTGTCTTAGGTTTCTGGGGAAAAGTGACCATTTGCTGTCTACTTCTTTTATTCTGAGAAAAGATGCTCTTTTTGTCTTGTTAATAATGGCAGAATTAACGATTCATTGGAAAGAGCACAAAGAAAATATTAATTCCAAAACTTTTCTTTAAGTTTACAGAATCCAGATCATGCAGCAATGCAGTATATCAGCAGTCTGTTCAACAGAAGGGTGGTATATCCTGAATTTGTAACTCCCCTGGTGCCTATCTATCTGATATGCTTCTGTACAACTCCTATGGCTCCAGTTGAATATGTAGGGAGGATGGCCTTGTTGGGTAAAGGTGGGAGAGGAAGTCCTTGGTACTGAGAAGGCTGGATACCCTAGTTGGAGGAATTTGTGGGTGGGGAGGTGGGAGTGGGTGGGTGAGTGGGAGCACATCATCATAGAAGCAGGAAGAGGGGGGATGGGATAGGAGGTTCCTGGGTTGGGGGGAGGAAATGGGGAAAGAGGATAACATCTGAAATGTAAATAAAATATCCAACAAAAAAATTTGGGTGCTTGCTCCCCACAAAAGGATGATATTTGTTAGAAGGAGGCTGTGGTGATTTGAATGAGTTGAATGAGAATGGTACCCTGTAGTCTTGTGTATTTAAATGACTGGTCCCCATTAGTGGAACTGTTTGGGAAAGGTTAGGAGGTATGGCCTTGGTGGAAGAGGTATATCATTGAGGGCAGGCTTTGGGGGTTCAAAACATGCACCATTCCCAGTTAGTTCTTCTTTTCCTCCCCCCCCCCCCCTCCCCCCCCCCCCCACTCATGGCTGTTGTTACAGGATGTGAGCTGTCAGTCACTGCTTCAGTGTCATACCTGCCTGCTTGAGGCCATGCTCCTGCCATGGTCATGGACTCACCTTCTGAAACTCTAAGTCTCGATCATCTCTTTTCTTCTAAGAGTTACCATGGCCACGATGCTCTGTCATGGCAATATACAAACAACTAAGACAGACTCTCTATCTTCTTTGGTTTACTTAAGTTTCTGAATACATCTTTTTTCCTTACTCCAACAACTTATCATTAAGTCATTGGTGCTTTTGAGTGGCAAGCAAAGTACAAGGCTCATGGTCACACATTAGAATTTTTGATTAGATCTTCATTGATTTAGTATCAGGAGAAGTACAAAATGTCCATCTCCAGGAATGACTCCAGGGCAGACACTACAGCAGCATTATTGGAAATAATATTTCTCCCTTCTCTGTTTTGCTTCTGACAGAATCTTGTTCCATTGCCCTGGCTGACCTGAAACTCACTATCAGTACTGGTCTGGCTTAAAGTTAGGGCAATTCTCCTGCCTCTGCTTCTTGAGTGTTTGAATTAAAGGCATCTATCTCCATGCCTGTCTCTGTAATTGAATGTCTAAGAATAAATTTTTTAGGAAGAATGTTACACTAAAAGGCTGTCTGTCAGTTCCTAGATGATTACTTCCAATTTTTACAATATACTTTTTTTCTTTCCAAGTATAGGCATGAAAAATATTTTACTTAATTTAAAGTTACCATCTCTGACACTTTGGAGGTAAGAAAATTTAGCAGCATTATTGGTTTTGCAGACTACAGCCCTTGTGATGGGCAGTGGGGCACACTGCCTCTGACATACACAGAGAGCTGTTTTGTAACAGTGCTGACCCTAGAAATACAAAGAAGTTGACTGTACCTTTGTTTTCTCAACATTGTATCCAGTGAAAAATCCACACTGCACAGTTAGTTATTCACATAAAATATGAAACTATGAAGAACTTTGTGAAACTATGGAAGAACTTTGAACTGAAAAGTTATGTCTAGTTTTAACTTAGCTTCTGCTGTTTTCTAATTCTTTGAATAGCTCTCAAATAAAATGTTTTCTGAGAAAATAGTTTCATTCATTTTTTTTAGAATTTTGTATAATGTGTCTTGATCATATTTACTTCTCTCGTACCTCTTTCCCTGATCCACATCTCCTCCTTATCCACCCAACCTCGTATCTTTTTCATTTCTTTCCTTCACCTTCACATTCATCCATTTTTGTTGCTCATGTATTCTCAGATGTGTGGTCTTCTAAAGGAACATGGCCAATTTGTCAAGAATTTGAAAGAAAAGTGACTCTCTCTCCTAGTGGTTATCAATTTGCTCTTACCTGTGAAAGCTGCCTTAACATAGAACCCGAGAAGCTCACTCAGAAAACTGCTTAGCATCCACACAAGAAAACACTAGTTTGGAGCTCTAACAATGATGTAAAAATCTGGATATGGCAACAGTGTGGTCCTGCAACCTCCCCATAGCACTGGGGAGGTAGAAACAGTAGGATCCATATAATTCACTACCAAGACAGTTTAGCCAAAAGCACTGTACTCCAAATTTAGCAGGAGACCCTGTCTCTAACAAAACAAAACAAAACAAAAAAAATAAGGTGGAAAGAGATAGAAAGACATTTCAGGCACACACACACACACATTTCAGACACACACACACACACACGCCTGCCCCCTGAAGACTGTGTGTACGAGCTCTGTGGTCTACAGTCCTTTTCTAGCTACTCACAAACACTGTGCATTTGGAAATTCTGAAGCCTTTATAGTTCTTGCTCTTTCTCCTACGAGTCAATCAATTTCCAAAGGACATGCAATTTACCAGAGTCTGAAGCAATAGTTTTCTGATGCTGTATTCTGTTTTCTAATTTCCTATATATTTTCCTCATACTTTTGTGCTGTCAAGAAGAATAAACATTGTCATTGGACTTTTACTGGTTTTTGAAAAAAGATCCACACACAGGGGTGGGCAACTACTTGCAGGTAACTCAAATCAGGTTCTCTACAGGAACGTCCTCTTTTTAAATATAGTACAATCATTAAAGTACATGAAACTTACAAGCTGAGCCCACATGGAACAGGAAGGCCCGATGGCCAAGCACCATGTCAAGTTCATCTCTGGAGAGTGCAGACTTTTGAGTTTCTGAAAATTTAACTCATGGTTGCAAATTACAGACAGCCTGTCATGTAGATCATTGGAAAGGACATTATTTCACAACTGCAATATTTAAAAATGGATCACAATTTTGGAAGGCTCCCTTCTTCTAGTTGGGAGGGGTCTTACAGATGTATGCTCTCAGTATCTGATTTCATGTCTCATGAGCAAGCACCTGTCCATCCATTACCTTGGTTGCCCATTTCCTAATGAGGTTTCCTCCTCAAAAGTCAGCTTGACCCTTACAAGGGCAGGGCACCCTGTTTTATTTCTAACACAAATCACTTGCTCTTACTGTCATAAATCTGGTGTCCAGTGGAGTTTATGAGATAATCTGTACCTGTCCGATGGGAGTAGATGTTGTGATTGCACACAGTCTGCAGGATAAGTAGATTTCTGGCTAGGTGAGCTCCTCAGTGTCTCAAATACGCTGATACAAGGATAGGTTTCCAGGAGACAAAGATTGTAGGGTTCCAACATTTGTTTAAGCTCAAAACCCCCATTTCATTATGCCCATCAATAAATTATACTTCTAGATGTGAATCTTGTCTTGTCTTAATTATTATGTTCCTTAAAAATTTTTACAGCAATAGAATTTCTATACTTTATTAAGATATGTAAATTAAATTCATTACTGTATGTAAAGTATACAGATGGCCCTTGATAGAGATAGACTTTGTACAATTAGAGAGGTGATATTACTGTAATGAATGAAGATAAACAGAGAAGAGAAAATGGAGTAGCATATAAATATATAAGTTACAGTGACTTGTTTTTTTTCTATTGATTTGCAAGGCATTATTTATCAGATGGCTCTAGTGGCTCTGAACACAGGTTATCTCTTTTCTAAATCCTATAGGAAGAAGAATAAAAGCTTCCTAACACCATCAAATATAGAAACTGCCTATGTTTTTTTTTAAAGGTTACAGGTGAGTTTGTGTCTTTAGAAGGTCCCAGCCAGAAATCAGTTATTGCTTAATTTCAGTTGCTTATTCATGGAGGCAGTGGCTGGGTTGGATTAACCCTGTTTGCGGTAAAGATGCTTTTTATTGAGAGATGAGCACCAATCGGTTACCTCCAGGAACATGACTTGATGACTAAAGTCAGACATACTTTCAAATCAAACCTTGAAATGCCTCATCTTTAGGTTGAATTTTTTCCCATATGACTTCTTACTACTCTCTGGAATGGGATTGACAAGTGAGTTTATGAATGCACGAAGAGCTTTATTATGTGAGAATCAGCCTACTTACCATTAACTTGAACCAGTGAGACACCAGCTGGCAAAGCTCTTGCGTTCCTTGTCTTCTGATTTAAGATGCTACGGCTTGTCTTTTTTCCTATGGTCCTTGGCTCTGTAGAGGGAGTCTGGAACGCCATAACCATGTCCGCTCTTGTATCATCCTCTTCTGGTCTGGGAAACACAAGAGTAGGGTTCACATTCAAAGGGTGCATGAGTATTGCTTCACGGTCTTCCCTGTGATTTCCCCATCTCTGTCTCAGGTGCTGAGTGTGTCAAGCGCCAGGTACTCTGTTCACATCTGTGCTCCTTCCTATGCTACTCTCTCACTTAAATGCGTCTCCCATGTTTCCTCCTTTAGCTTTTAAAAAAACAATATCTTGAGTGCACCCCGTAACGTGAAGACATGTTACTGTATTTTTGTTTTTTAAAAAAGGTTTGGTCCTCTCGGGCTTTTGCAACCAGTGTAGTTCACATCCCTCAGCTGTTCAAAACGCAGAGAATAAGTAGCCAGCTGTGAGGTGCCAGTTCTGAAATGGGAAACAAGCCTTGTACCCAAATCTCTGGGAATATCATGGAAGGGGGTATGGAAGATTGTAAGGGCCAGAGAATCAGGAGGTCAAGACAGATGTTATACTCAAGAACTCGCATCAGCTATGGCTGACTGTGTAAGTCCTGCATAAGACCATACCAGTCAACAGTACTGGAGGGAAGAAGGTCCATAAGACCTGTGTTACAGTTATGGAGCTACAAGCAGCCAACAACTGATGAGGGAGGAAGAGTCAAGTTTCCCCAGGAACGAGTTTCTTTGTAGGTTAACTACATGCCAGAGGTCAGCCTTACGCCTATATATATGTATGTTTAAGTATGGGTAATGCTATGTGTATGGTTGATGCTAACAGAACTTAGAAGGATGTGTGTGTGTGTGTGTGTGTGTGTGTGTGTGTGGTATCCATATATACACAGGTAATAATAGAAACAGAGGGCACAAATGTGAAACAGAAATGTTGGTGGCACACAAGAGGAATTGTAGGATGTGATAAAATGCACCATACTCGCAACAGCTTAAAAACATAAAAACCTCTGAGGGCTTAAAGAAGCCTCATGTTCTCGTGAGGAAAAAAATCAGATACCTGATATATGACTCACCTCTACAGCATCAGTGAGAAGTGGTTCCCCGACCCCAGGGCAGTCATTAAGGTGTGGAAACTTTGCTTTGCTAGAGAGAACGTTCCTTGTTTGACTCTATTTTAAAAGTTATTTGTATAGAACTTCAAGTGTCCACCCTTTAATTTTCCATTACACAAAGCTTAGAGCAACCAGTTTCAATGCATTTTAAGCAGTGATTCTTTCTTCCAGATAAAATATTGGAAGAGAGCAGTGTATGGGCTCTCAGACTCCAGATGATCACACCTGCTTCCTTAAATGGCTTCAAGTCCAATCACCTCTGCAAGTGAACGTTCACAGAGACTCACAGAGACTCACAGAAGGGAAAGGAAACCGTGAAAGGTGCTCCTGTTTGGAGACGGGGAGGAGAGTGAGAACTGAGGTTCTGTTTGGGACTCTCAGCATGTGTATCTTTATGTACAATTAAAATGACTTAGATGTTCAAACTCAGATGCTAGAAATCTTCCTTCAGTATGGTCTTGTCTTTATATTTATATACAGCAAAATATACCTATGTGATTCATTAAAGTTTTTAAAGTTGACAATGATACCTACTAATCTTTCATTCTCCCTATTTTTATACCACAAAACAACAGTTCTAAAAAAAAAAAAAACCGTGAGTCTAACCTATCTGAATCTTTGGCTAAAAATTAAGGAAGTAATATCAATCCCGAGACATGATATGTCTCACATTGCATTTTGGCTCCAGAACAGGGAAGTGTAAGTAACTCAAATTTTATGTTAAATTGGGAAATGGGGACCCAAATATTTTTCCATCTTAAATAAGAGGAATGAAAACATTTTACTGAGTTTAATGTCCACAACAATCGCATAATCAAAACTGGCTACAAACTGGGAGTTTCTCAGACTAAGGAGATTTGGCTAAAATGCTACAAAAATTAGAATTCAAAGGCAGAGGGTATACAATGTAGAAATTTTCAGCATTTATATGCTGTTTACATCCTAAATTACCCAACCATATTATAATAACTTCATGTGGGGGGCTGGAGAGGTGGCTCAGTTGTTAAGAGCGCTTGCTGCTCTTGAGGAAGACGAGAGTTCAGTTTCTTGCACCCACATGGTGGCTCACAGACACTCTCTCTTCTGGCCTCTAAGGGCTCAGGACAGGAGTGATGAACATACGGACATGCAGACAAAACACTAATTAGAGTGAAGTAAAAATAAACTTTTAAAAATTCCTTATCAAGTCATGAGTTATCACATGTACAAAACTCTAGTTGAACCTTCAATAGTGCATCTGCCTACCGGTAAGAAAATAATTGCCACCCTTCCCTTCCAATAAATCCGGCTAAGAGTTCCACTTGCTCTCATCAAGGTTTTTTTTGTTTTGTTTTGTTTTGTTTTTTGTATATGTTCGTTGTACAAAGTCGTGGGTAATTGCATTTTTGTTTGAGTATCTTTTTTCTCTTTGAAATGATTCATACAAACTCATGGGTTTGTGCCTGTCTGTTCTGCTGCGTGATTTTTTTTAAATAACAAAGTAGAAACCTCTGAGTAATTTCACCGACTGATATGAGTCGTGCCTCCCCACCCAAGCAAAAGGGAGTATCAATTACGACACGATCATCTTTTGGTTCGGGCATGTTGGCCTGACACTAGGGCTTGGTTACGGGTAAAACTTATGATCCGATTTTGTAGTACACTTCCCCTTCTTGGTGTTTTTGAAGAATCTGTCAGAAGTATAGGACCTGGTGCATGCAGAGGCATGGCCTGGGTTTATCCAGGGCTGTGGATTAAGGTGGATTTCGGGTGGCACAGCTAGTGGGTAGGGCTTCAGTGCTCACTCTATCCGTTGTAACCTTCTCTTTGGGTAACATGGGCATATCACTTCTCTCTTCCCCACGTCGTACCTTCTGAATTTTCAGGATGAGTTTAGCCCTGTACCTCGAAGCTATTCTAGAGACAATATTTCTGAAGAGCCCCGGTAAAGTGTCTGGAGATATTAGTTATGTGAGGGGCCCCCACGTCCTTTCCCTTTGTCCCTTCAGTTTCGCAACTACATCCTTGCCCAAATATACATACGTTAGTCTGACTACGTGGTTTTTGACGTAGCGCTTGTTCAAGGATGAATCTATAAATGTTTCATCTACCTGTCATTATAAAAAAAGAAAAAGAAAAACAATGTGTTAGTAGGATATTTTATAATAAAAACTATTAAACGGTAAACAAGTAGAATTTTCACAGTAACAATATTATTTAAGTTAGTGATTTTTTGCAATAATTCAGTTAGTCACTCTTTTAAAAAAAAAGTCTAGAAAAAGAATATAGCTCTTACCCTCAAGGTATATGTGAGTGGCATTTAAAATGGATGCTTTTTATCATGACTTTTAGTGTATGTTACCAAAGCTGAAATTTATTTTTAAATGAACATCAGATAATTTTGTACTACTTCCAACTGTTTGCTCTGTATAAAAGAATCTTTCTGCAAAATGTCTGAAGGAAAGAAAATTGGAACTTCCCATAAGTGTACAGCTTTTACATTTAATAAAAATGTTTGTGAAATATACATGCAAACATTCTGGATGGTCCCACCCTGAGTCCACCCTCTTTCCTGTTTAAATCTATGAAGAAACTTTTTGTTTCTTCTGAATTTTCAAATTTAAAAACAAAATAACTTCTCAGTTTGTAGTAATCTACGGGTTGCATATTTCAGATAAATTCTGTATAAAATACACATAAGCAAAATAATTCATATTTAAGGGAAATGTTATACAGACTTTTCCACACGGAAGTACATAATAAAATGTAAAACCACATTACCATTAATTTATAGTATATTTAGTACATAATCACTTGCTCTGTAGAGCTTTAGTTATGAAGTATACAGGGGACTGGGGATTGGGGAGAAACAAATTTCTAATTCATTGTAGACTCTAAGGCTAGCCAGAAATGGGGTAAGAAATATCATGTAAAAGTGATGGATCTCGTTTTATACCACTAAGGAAGAAGAAGAATATAAAATTTTGACAGTAAGTATGTAGTTTCAAGCCTGCTACATCAAGATGCTATAGTCTGTCACAGGTACGTTTGATTTCAGTACCTTCTAACAACCACTTGGTGGCGATAATGTCTTCGGAATGTAGGCAGATGAACTAAATGTGGGAGAGGGAGGAGTGGAAGGACGGTGGGAGGGAAGAACAGAGGGAGAGGGGAGAGAGGGGAGAAGGGGAAGGGGAGAGGGGAAAGAGGGGAGAAGAGAGGAGAAGAAAAGAGAAGGGAAGGGAAAGGGGAGGGAGGGGAAGGGAAGGGGAGAGAAGGGGAGGGAAGGGGAGCGGAGAGAGAAGGGGAGAGAAGGGGAGAGAAGGAGAGAGAAGGGGAGATGAGAGAGGAGAAGGGGAGGGGAGAGAGAAGGGAAGAGAAGAGAAATCCAAAGTCCTAAATCCTAAAGGCAAGGGCATGAAATGCGACTTTTGTTTTTAAAAGAGCAAGACATACAAATGGAGGAAAGATGTTTTAGGAGTAATGGACCAAGTGATGACTTCTTTACCCCTTTTAAAATCTTACAGATGCTTCATTAGGAGCCAGGACTCTCATTACTTTAACCCTTACAGTTACTCTATGAAATAAGAGTCATTTGATTCGCCACAAGTACTCCATCAGTACTGTGTCATTCCAAGTTCTAGGACGCTTTCTTCTTCTCCCAGCACAGATATAAATGGGTTTGCTGAAAGTTCGTTGTCATTAACACAATCTAGTAGAGTCAATGACTTAAAAAATCCTACCTGTCACTTCAGGGCATTTGTAGCTTTGTAATTAGGAGCCGAGTGTCCTGATATTGAACAAAAGACCCCTTTAGGGTAGTACTTAGTTTCTGCTTAGTGACTTTGGAATGCTGCAAATTGCACTGAGATTAAATAGAAAGAGGGCAACTGGAGGTTACTTGGGTGTTTAATAAAAAAGGTAGGGAGAGGTTGACAACTCAAACATATCCGCCCAGCCATTCAGCTCATTCCCAGTCATTCCTGAAGTCGCTGTTTGCACATGTCAAGGGCCCTTTCTGTTAGATCCTTCCTAATTGGTTTCTTCTTTGACAGTAATCTATGTTTTCACATGAGGGTATTTCTAGGTTGAGATTGCAAAACTAGGATAGTTCTTCTACTGAGGATTGCATACAAGCTCCTATTTCCAACTTAACCTTAGTTGATCTCCTGAGAACTAAAGGAACCAAACTCAGGCCATGAGAAAAATAGATTTTGTTATTTTATCTTAAGTATAAGAATGTTACCATAGAAGCTATGATAGGATATACATTTTAAAAAATAATCACTCATTTTAACTGTAGAGATGTGTCCATGCGCCTGTGCAGCCATAGAATAGAATCTCAGACAGTTGGGGGCCATCAGAAGTGAGTGCTGGGAACTGAACTCACATCCTCTGGAAGAGCTCTTAAACACTCCTTACCTCTCAGCCAATTCTCCGGCTTGACATAATTTTTAAAATATCTGTAGCTTCAGTAAAGCTTACTTGAAATTACTGTTGCTGCAGGGATGGAGTCATTACATTTAATCTTTGTCAACATCAGCAGACATCTGATGGCGTCCCAGTCTCTTGCCAGCCTGTCTGTTCAGCCCTCTTTATGCCAGTACCAGACCTGGCCTCCATTATCCTGCATACTTGATCTTTGACCTATGGGGTCCTTCTACCTTCTGGTAATATCGCTTCTCTGAATCCCAGTTATCCTTGGGGATCTCTCTCAGGGAATCCTCTAGGGTTTAGTTGATCCTTCCTCCTCATGTGAATCTCACGTCCTACTGTCTTGATTTTTCTCATCCAATTTACTCTTTCTATGTATTTGCATATTTATTAATATAAACATATTATTCCTTTTATCAAACAGTAATGTGCAAACATGGTGATTTTGTTTTCCTAGTCTGCAATATTTGTAATGGTAGCTATATTGCTTGTTGTTGTAGAATGTATAAATAAAAGAGAGAAATTTTATATCAGAGAGCCTCATGTTTGCCAGTTTGAGGTTAGGTTTAAATGTATCCTTTACATAGGCTGAGATCAATGCTTCTGAACAAAAAAGAAAATTGCATGTGGACTCTTTGAAGCATTTTTTTTTTCTTCTTCTCATGGCACTCCCCAGTAGTTTGTCTCCCTGTGGCAAGTTGCTCTGCTCTGAGTCTCCATGTGGTAAATGTAGAATTCAGTATCACTATTGTCTCCTAACTGGGTGCTAAGTTCAAACTCTTTTGCATGTGAGCACATTTGCTTGCCTCATCAGCGGTCAGAGGTGAATACTATTACTATCTACATTATTTGGATGAGGAAGTGACTTGCCCTAATTGACACAGCATTGAACCACGGAATCAGAATTAGGCCTAGGCCGGCAAGCTTCTCAGCTTGATAAGGTCCTCACGGTACCAGCCTAAGGATGAGCACCCGGCACCGGGAGCTCCTGATCACCCGGCACCGGGAGCTCCTGATCACAATGGCCAGTGACCTGTGGCTACTTGAGCCCAAAACTGCAAAGCTCTGCAAGATCTGCCAAAAATAAACAGCGGATATTAGTACCTTTTACTGTGATCCAGTTATAATGTTGTTTTATTGACTGGAAATTCTAGATACTGCATATAATGTGCATTGAGAGGCCAGGGGTCCATGTTAGATGTCTTCCCCAATCATTTTTCATCTTTTTTTTTTTCTCACTGAGCCTGGAGCTCACTCATTGGCTAGACTGCCTGGGCAGTGAGATTCAAGGAATCTCCTGTATCTACCACCCTTGTGCTGCAGGGATAAAAGCTTTTGTGTATGGCATTTTAAGTGATGGTAGGGATCCTAGCCTTGCACAGCAAGCATTTTAGTGACTAAGCCATGCCCCTAAAATGTGGAGGAAGGGTTTGAAAAGTGAGATCTAAATCTTTCCTTCGGAGTTGGTTGGAACATGGCCAGCATGAGCACCAGGCAGTGTTTACAGTATTTCCAGGCTCGACGAACTGAGATAAGGTCTACCTCTTCTGGCTTTGAACACAGAGCTACATCTACTAGAGAAAGGAGTTGGATCCAGGGTCACCTGAGGTCTGGAGATGTGGGTGGAGTGATATGGAAGTGTGGCTTTCTGATTACCTTAAATCAAAAAGGAATGAGATCACTAAAGAGGGTGTGATATTTCATAATGTTGTCAGTTTCTTGCACTACTCTTTTTCAATGACTCTTCGTAGAATGCCTGAGGGAAATGCACACCCGTGACTAATCGTACATTGCTGGATTTACTGTGCTAGGTAACCGTATCCCACCTTGATTAATATTCCTGAGATGGGAGAGGCAAAGTACATAGGTCTACAAGAAAAGGTTACAATAAAAACATTATAAAAGATAAAGTGCTTTCAGTGTGCCTCAAAAATCAAGATCTACAGATTATCTTCAGAAAGATATAACAAATAGGCATCTATTTAAGATAGTACTAAAGATATTTAAAAGCAAGGATTCCAAAGCAAGGGAGAGAATGTCACCATGTAGAAAGCTCATGTCCTCTCCAAGCTTATCTCTTAAATCTCTAATTTGGGGACAGACACACACACACACATACACACACACACACTGAGAATTTATTCAGTCTCTTTTTAACGTCCAACGTGTTACTGTATTTCCGATTGTGAATTAATAATCTACATATATTGTAGGTTACCCAGGGGGAGTGAAGTCTGTGCCACACGTCTATATCATGGTCAGAGATGTCTTATATTGCTGCCCTTCTCAGAAATCTCTCCTCCAACAGCACACTCACACACAGCTTTGTGCAACTATAGATCACTTACACTAAACATGCGTGTAAAGTTATGATGTAGACATTCTCTCTTTGTTATGCTCGCTTCCATTACTGTTTTCCTCACCAAACACTGATGCCAGGAAATGATAAGAACATTTTTATATAGTAAGTGATTCCGGTATATTGGTTAGGAAATATATTTATATGAAAAAAATAAATGAAAGAATTTTAGGTTTTAATCATTTCATCTTCAACTTTAGCTGAGCCTCTCCATACCAGGAGAACAATTTACTAGAAAAGGACCACATTTGGAGTTACCTACATGTCTTCAGATTTTTTTTTCTCCTTTAGTTAGTAGCTAGTTCTCTCACTTGGGGA